TTTTAGCAGCAGTTTTTCAAACACAATTTTTTTTGGAAAAAATACACTTTATTGAATTTCATTGCACAAAAACACAATTCTAATACCCAATTGCTTAGTAAAATATAAAAGTTGATGTTATGCCAAGTAAATAGATACCTAACATGTCACACATTAAAGATGTGCACTATCATGGCAACAAGCTATGGTATTTAAAAATATCCATGGTGAAGTTTTAAAAGCCTTTACAGACTACCAGTTTAGAGTTACACAGAAGGTCTGGTGCTAGAATTTTTGCTCTCAGTATAAAATTCACTGCAATACCTCATGTTTACATATGTGAGTGCGACCTATGTATGCGTTCACTTTTTCATCACTTTTATTGCTATCACAATCCTTTGTGATAGCAATAAGCATGACAGGTTGTCTTTGCTGAGAATCTGGGGTCCATTAGACTCCAGATCTCTCCTCTGCCCTTAAAAGCATCTAATCAAATCAAGTTGACCAGTTGTTTTCCCAAGCCAAAAATGGCTTGTTTACATTCTGGAGAAACCAGAAGTGACAAAATACATGTCGCTTCTGGTTTCTTATACCATAGAGATGATCAGGGAAGATCTAGTCCCCGTTCAGCTCTATGGTAAATCAGTGGCTTAAATTCCCAGTGGGACGGGAAAGTCCAGGAAGCCATTGGAGAGCAGAGATGGAGGGACATTTACCCTTTAGGATTGCTTTTACCAAAAATAGCAGGCTGAAAAAGCAATACCAGGATGCTGCAGGCACCATACTGGTATAACCACTTCAACCTTGTGATGTAATGGTACGTTGTGGGGGAAAAAGTGGTTAAAAAAGGAGTGCACTTTTATTTCTGGTGTGGTATTTTGGGGTTTTTATTTCTTTTGAGGATTGTTTTATTTCATGTGCTATGTTGATAGGGCCTATAGTTCTAAACTTTGGAGCACACAAAGCCCAGCATTCACTTGCTAAATTACCATGTGGCTTTGGGGTGCTATTTTGTTCAGTACTCTGCTGCATCATTTGAAAAAAAAAAAAGAAGGAAAGAATGGTGTGCACCTAAACTATCTTGAAATATATCACTCACATTCACCATATCACCTAGCCAGGGGCGGACTGACCATTTGGAAACCCGGGCACTGCCCGAGGGTCTGGGGTCAGTAGGGGGCCCCATGAGATGCCCCTGGTACCTTTTTCATAGGCTTTTTTGAGTTTGGGCAAGGACACAGGGGCCCCATGATCCCCTATTGCCCGGGGGCCCCATGAGTTGTCAGTCCGCCCCTGCACCTAGCTTTAATAAAAAGTAAGCATACACTCTTTAAGACTTTTTTATCCCTGATTTCAGACTGCTGTTGGCCAATTTTACACTACTGTATGCTCGGTAGTAGCTTAATTCTTGTAGAAAAGCCTAAACATGTGCTTTTTGTCTCTGGTAAATTTTGGCCTGACCTTGTTCATTAAAATTTTCCTGCTGATGGGCAATTTTTATACTGTTGTTTCCTGTGTGATCTCTTAATTGCTAATACAATGATACAACATAAGTGTTAGATTTAAATTCTGTAGATATCTGCAGAACAGTTTTATGTCAGCAAAAACATGGACAGCCTAGAAAAACTATTGGCAAATGTCTATTTGTCTGTCAAAATGTACCTATTACTGCTGAAATGTATAAGTCAAGCTAATTTTAAATGAAAAAAAAAATCCACAGCCAAATATGCTCTGCCAGTGAATTCTGTCTCTGAGACTGTAAAATTTGTAGTGCTCTGCAATCTAAGTACAGATTCAATGCATCATCTATGCATGGTATTTAAATGATTTGTGAATTTTCAATGTTGCCCTCAAAGCCAAATGAAAGCATTTTCTCTCCATATTTTGGTACTTTAATTTTACCATGTTTATATTGGTATGTCTCTCCATGTCAGTCCCTGCTTCCTCTGGTTTTAGCTAGACAGTAATTTTACTATTACCCCTAAAATGGCCCAAATTTAACAACATAATTTGCCCTCCCCTATAGACTTCAATGGGTTTGCAACTAAGCTTGGGTTTGCTGAATTTCAAACAGGATTAGCAGAATCATTGGTTCCTTAGATTTACCCATCACTATTTAGCCCATTTAATTTTTAGGTATAATAGCAAGTGTAATAGTATTGCAAATAATACACTGTATGTGTTACTTTAATAAAATAAAGTTTACCTTAGTATTAGGGTAAGGGTTTCTGTTGATGTTAAGTAAAATTTTGTTTCCTTTGAGTCACAATAAAATGATGAATTTGAAACTGCAACATAAATGCAATGAGGAGAACAATGAACAACAGTAAGGGTACTTCTAGAGATGAAAAAGTTATAAGAACAGATGTACCAATGTTGTGGCTTTTGTTACTTTCTGTAGTAATACGTAGTTGTGTGTCTGGCTTAGGTGATGATAATTTTTGAAGTGGTGGATAAAGCAGGAAAACCAGTTCAATGTGATATATAGAAGATGTGATAGGAGAAGAAAAATATTAAACAAAATAAGATCCTGCAATGTATCACCATAAAGAAGAATATTTCAATGAGCAGAGATGCTTCTACTGTAAAGTGGACAGTATATCAGAAGGGCAACCTACAGGTATGTCTTATAGAGCATATATAGGGATATCCAGTCTGGCAATTCTTCTCCACAACAATGTACAATATATTTATCAGCAAATGTATTCTCTGTATGAAAATATAAGCCATGGAGAAAAACCTAGATTCCAAGCAGCATATAAGTTACCAATGAACTCTCCTCTTGGATCACATTGGTAAATAGTTGCAAATCTTTTATTATCCTGATGCTGATCAGTTTGATTCACAGGAAAAAGAAAAAATGCATAATCTCCTGCAAGGTTTGTTCATAGTACACAGTCTTTCTCTGACTAATTATTTAGTAATTTCCCCACATAATCTGCTATCCCCATGGTCTCACTCTAGTGCTGCTGCTCCCAAGAAAAATTCCCAAGCTCAACCCCATCCCACCAAAAGAAATCCTGCAGTATTTCCAACCAAGAGAAAACCTTTTGAGATGTGAGGACAGGTCAGAAAGACCAGGAGAGGGCAGGTGATGTGAAAGAATATATGAATATATGTATATATATACTATATATATATATACATATATATATATATATATATATATATATATATATCTGTGTGAGAAGTGATCTCAGAGTGAATGTGAAAGAGGGCCTAGTTGATGGAGAGTGTGATGAGGCTGAAGCATTATGGGTGGAACTGCATATGGGGTGCATACTACTAAGGTAATCATTGCAGTTTTTATAGGTCACCCAATGTTAATGAGGAGGTAGAGACTCAGCTCCTTGCACAGATCAAAAGGGCTGTAAGGGCTGGGATAGTGATACTAATGGGGTATTTTAACTACCCAGAAATTGACTGGAGTAATGACACTGCAGGAAAAGTTAAATGGCAAACATTTATAAACCTACTACAGGACAATTGTATGGTACAGTTCATAGAGGTCTGGAAAAACCCAAACCATGCAGAGTTTATTACTAATATCCATATAAAAAAAATATCTGGGTAGCAGTGACCATAACATGATTTCATTTATTGTTAGCTGTAAACAACAAGCACATATGAGAAAAATAAAAATGTTCAACTTTAAGAGAGCCAATTTTCCAAGGCTGAGAGCTGCTCTCCAAGACTTAGACTGGGAGGGAATATTGGCACTGATAAACACAACACAGACTTATAATAGGCATGGAGGAGCTCAGATATGAGGAAAGACTAGAGCAACTGAATGTGTTCTCTCTTGAGAAGAGGAGATTAAGGGGGGATATGATCAACATGTATAAATACATCAGTGGTTCATATAGTGAACTCAGTGTAGAGTTATTCACCCTGAGGTCATCACAGAGGACAAGGGGGCACTCTTTACGTCTGGAAGAAAAGAGATTTAATCTCCAAATATGGAAAGGTTTCTTTACAGTAAGAGCTGTGAAAATGTGGAATAGACTCCCTCAAGAGTTGGTTCTGGCCAGCTCAGTGGATTGCTTTATAAAAGGCCTGGATTCTTGGATTATAATATAACTAGATACTACTATTTATAGGTGAAGTTGATCCAGGGAATATCCGATTGCCTTTCGGGGGGCCAGGAAGGAATTGTTTCCCCCTTCAGGAGAAATTTGGATCATGCTTTGCTGGTTTCTTTGCCGTCCTCTGGAGCAACTGTGGGTATAGGATTTTCTTTTTTTTTTTTTTATTATGGTTGAACAGGATGGACTTATGTATTTTTTCAGCCAGACTAACTATGTAACTATGTTACTATGTAATGTAACTATGTAACTATATATATATATATACATATATATATATACAGTATATATATACACCATACTGCCAAAAGTATTGGGACGCCAGCCTTTACACGCACTTGAATTTTAATGGCTTCCCAGCCTTAGTCTATAGGGTTCAATATGGAGTTGGCCTGCCCTTCTTCCAGAAGCTCATTTGTGAGGTTGGGCACTGATGTTGGATGAGAAGGCCTGGCTCGAATTCTCCACTCTAATTCATCCCAAAGGTGTTCTGTTGGGTTGACTCTGTGCAGGCCAGTCACGTTCCTCCACCCCAAAACTTGCTCATCCATGTCTTTATGGACCTTGTTTTGTGCACTGGTGCGCAGTCATGTTGGAACAGGAAGGGACCATCCCCAAACTGTTCCCACAAAGTTGGGAGCATGTAATTGTCCAAAATGTCTTGGTATGCTGACACCTTAAGAGTTCCCTTAACTGGAACTAATGGGCCAAGCCCAAACCCTGAAAAACAACCCCACACCATAATCCCCCCTCCACAAAACTTTACACGTGGCACAATGCTGTCAGGCAAGTATCGTTCTCATGAGAAATGCCAATCCCAGACACATCCATTGGATTGCGTCTCCACTGCTCCAGAGTTCAGTGGCAGCGTGCTTTACACCACTGCATCTGACACTTTGCATTGCACTTTATGATGTAAGGCTTGGATGCAGCTGCTTGGCTATTGAAACCCATTCCATGAAGTTCTCTATGTGCTATTGTTGCGCTAATCTGAAGTCCACACAAAAGTCTTTGGCGATTGATTCTGCAGATAGTGACTTCAGCACACTGTGCGCTTCAGCATGCGCTTATCCCACTCTGTCATTTTACATGGCCTACCACTTGGTGGCTGAGTTGTTGTTGTTGTTCCCAGTTGCTTCCACTTTGTTATAATACCAATAACAGTTGACCGTGGAATATTTAGTAGCAAGGAACTTTCAAGGATGGACTTATTGCACAGGTGGCAACCTATCACGGTACCATGCTTGAATTCACTGAGCTCCTGAAAGCGACCCATTCTTTCACAAATGTTTGTAGAACCAGTCTGCAAGCCTAGGTGCTTGATTTTATAAACCTGTTTTGAGTGGAAAACAAACTGACAAAACGTTAAACAAAAAAACACATTAACAATTATATCAGTTAAGAGATATGTATAAGAAATACAACCCTATAGTATTTTCCGTAAGGCTGTTAAGTTTTGAATATTCCATCGTTTGGGATATTGTTGTTGTTATCTATTTATGGAATGTTAGAGCATTAACAATAGTACATACAATCCTAAGTGTAGAATTGATATACATTGAAGTTACAGTAAATGTCACTATTGTTCCTCCTCTGAAATGCTAATGACATGCTGTTCTCAGCATAACATGTTGTTAACTAATGGTTCAGCTCAGGCCTAATGTGGTGATATGTGCTTTTTGACATTAAAGACATAGATAGCTTCTGGCTTATGTGTTCTGCATAATTAGTGTATTCAATACTTTGACTATGGAAATTTGGAGCTGTCTCAGTTTTTCTGTTTTAAGGTGACCCACGCAAAGGCAAACAGCTGTACTGTGGCAGCACTGAAGCAACTGTCATATGTTTAAATACACTCAGGCAGAAGCCAGAGGATAATGCTCAGTAATGGGTTAATCAATACTTATTATAGTTTTATTGGTTCACTAAAGAGAGAACAGAATCTAGTGAGCACAGAGTTGAAAAAAAATCACTGCATCTGATCTAGATAACATCCAGCTTCCCCATGGGATTTCCCTATTCAAGAATCCAATTTACCATGCCTGATTGACAAGTATTAGATCCTAGGGAATCATATAGCTCCTTTTAGGACCCAATAAAATTGGAAAGGATTTGCAGGACAGGACAGGGGATTTTAGCCATTTTTAAGGTTAGGGTAATTATGCCTATTTTTGTAATTATCCACATTCAACCATTTGTTCTAAAATAACACAATTATCAGCTATTCTTCTCACTTAGGTCTATAGATAAATAATTCAGTGATATGCTACAACTCAGAAGACACATGTTGCACACAAATCACGCTGGAACCATATTTTCTAAGAATATTTGTATTGCTTGTTAAAAGAAAAAGAAGAGGGCTTTTTTAATATTCAAAATAATAAAGCAATTGTAATCTGCTACAGCTATGCAATCAGTAGTCTAAAACTGCAGCTCAAACTCTTTATTTAGTGGAAGGAAGAATATGGAAATGGGCTTTCTATGCACAGAAACTCAGCACATGAAAGTATAAAATCAATGTTCCTTTATTGACATCACATCATCTCTAAAATGTATCTTGTATAATATCATTGCACAATTAGCCCACAGCTAACATCCCATGACCCACCGACCATATAGAATGATTGCAAAAGATGGTAGCAGTATAGATAGTACCAACAAAGTAATCCTTCAAAGAGGAAGGGGATATTCAAGCTGTGAAGGCTGCGCCCGGCATGTTTCGCAACGACCGTCTCTTCCTTAGGGGCTAGCGATATATCTAGGTAGGATAAATATACTTAGACAATATAGATACACATAAGAGATTACAAAACACCATGGTATGTAGAATGGTAGTATTCACTTACACAATTTAACCAGTATGCACTGGTTAATGATAAACTCCTTGGGTTCCAAAAGGCAGGTCCCCTCAGGCCACACACAAGGAGAGCAACCTCCAGAGGTCAGGTATGGGGGTGCAACACCCGGCTTAGGGCAAGCAAAGGGCCCGTGGGGCTCCTCAGACACAATTAGTTTCCACGTGTTGAATGACAAGGCTACAGACTAGAGATAAGAAACCAGGAAGGGCCTGAAAAAATACCACAACATGTAAATTGACCAAGAAATATCCTTCTGAACAGAGTAGATACTGAAGCATAAGCTTACCACCTGGGGAGTCTTTTACCTTGTAATATAGTAGATAGATAGGCCCATTAGGGCTAATATATACAGGTGAAACTCAAAAAATTAGAATATCGTGCAAAAGTCCATTTATTTCAGTAATGCAACTTAAAAGGGGAAACTAATATATGAGATAGACTCATTACATGCAAAGCAAAATAGTTCAAGCCGTGATTTGTCATAATTGTGATGATTATGGCCTACAGCTCATGAAAACCCCAAATCCACAATCTCAGAAAATTAGAATATTGTGAAAAGGTGCAATATTCTAGGGTCAAAGTGTCCCACTCTAATCAGCTAATTAAGCCATAACACCTGCAAAGGGTTCCTGAGCCTTTAAATGTTCTCTCAGTCTGGCTCAGTAGGAGTCACAATCATGGGAAAGATTGCTGACCTGATAGTTGTGCAGAAAACCATCATTGACACCCTCCATAAGAAGGGAAAGCCTCAAAAGATAATTGCACAAGAAGTTGGATGTTCCCAAAATGCTGTATCAAACCACATTAATAGATAGTTATGTGGAAGGGAAAACTGTGGAAGAAAAAGGTGCTCAAGCAGCAGGGATGACCGCAGCCTGGAGAGGATTGTCAGGAAAAGGCCATTCAAAAGTGTTGGGGACTTTCACAAGGAGTGGACTGAGGCTGGAGTCAGTACATCAAGAGCCACCACACATAGACGGATCCTGGACATGGACTTCAAATGTCGTATTCCTCTTGTCAAGCCGCTCCTGAACAACAAACAACGTCAGAAGCGTCTTACCTGGGCTAAAGAAAAACAGACCTGGTCTGTTGCTCAGGGGTCCAAAGTCCTCTTTTCTGATGAGAGCAACTTTTGCATCTCATTTGGAAACCAAGGACTCAGAGTATGGAGGAAGAATGGAGAGGCACACACTGCAAGATGCTTGAAGTCCAGTGTGAAGTTTCCACAGTCTGTGTTGATTTGGGGAGCCATGACATCTGCTGGTGTTGGTCCACTGTGCTTCATTAAGTCCAGGGTCAACACAGCCATCATCCAGGAGATTTTGGAGCACTTCATGCTTCCTTCCACAGACGAGCTTTATGGGGATGCTGACTTCATTTTTCAGCAAGACTTGGCACCTGCCCACACTGCCAAAAGCACCAAAACCTGGTTCAATGACCGTGGGATTACTGTGCTTGATTGGCCAGCAAACTCGCCTGACCTGAACCCCATAGAGAATCTCTGGGACATTGCCAAGAGAAAGATAAGAGACATGAGACCGAACAATGCAGAAGAGCTGCAGGCCGCTATTGAAACATCCTGGTCTTCCATAACACCTCAGCAGTGCCACAGGCTGATAGCTTCCATGCCACGCCGCATTGAGGCACTAATTGCTACAAAAGGGGCCCAAACCAAGTACTGAGTACATATGTATGCTTATACTTTTCAGAGGTCCGATATTGTTCTATGTACAATCCTTGTTTTATTGATTGCATGTAATATTCTAATTTTCTGAGATTGTGGATTTGGGGTTTTCATGAGCTGTAAGCCATAATCATCACAATTATGACAAATCATGGCTTGAACTATCTTGCTTTGCATGTAATGAGTCTATCTCATATATTAGTTTCCCCTTTTAAGTTGCATTACTGAAAAAAAGGAACTTTTGCACGATAATCTAATTTTTCGAGTTTCCCCTGTATATAATCCCTCTCCGGGGAATGAAAAACGAACAGCCTGAAATTCAATCCAAAGATCTTGTCCTCAGTAAGAGGTAGAAAGGCCTGTATACCTGAAAGGAGACAAATATGGTACCCTCGTTAGTATAGATGTCCCCTACATTGGGATCAGAAACGTCCCACCCCCCCAATTAGGGATCACTTACTGGTAATTGACGATATACACAGCTCGTGGAACCACCGTCAAGAGCCGTTTCACCGCGGAGGAGTCACAGGGGACTTCACACCAGCCCTTGCAGCTTAAATACACCCTGACCCTTTGTGCCACCGTCGTGCGGCATGTGCTATAACCAGGAAAGACTGTGCACACACCAAGCCCATAAGGGGCGAGACCTCACGCACGGGAAATCCACGCACGTGTGGACAGGTGAAGGATCCAACCCCCGAACAGCGGGCACCCCGGCCACCCCCACCAACCCCAAGGGCAGAACTGATACAAAGAAGGCGAGTGAAGGGGTGTCAGCCAGAATTGAACCACAGCCACACTCCCAACTGAAAAAACGGGCCCCCCCCAAGAGCGGTGACCCAGACAACCCTGCCACCCCCCCAAAGGTCCACCACAGCAACAGTGCACATCTGTTACAATATAAACACGAACAAGAAAGCGAGCGCTAAAAATCCAAAGCTGCTGTAGCACCAAAAAGGAAACCAAATAAACCTTCCAAAGTCACTGATAAATAATAGCTAAAAAGACTTAAATGACTGAGGACCAAGGGACATATTTGTCCCATGTTTTTAATTGTCTGTATCATCTGATTAAGAACTTAAAATACTTTTTTTTTTGGTTTGAGTCAAAATATTAGTTCTTATCAACAAATGGATCTAGCTTTTTGCCAATTATTTCATGAAATGGCTTAGTTACAGCAACTGACGTGTACGAACTTTAAAAACCAAAAATTGATTCTTTTGGCGTTCCGTAATCTTATGGCCCTCAAAGGGTTAACTGGTATACGTGATAAAGTGCAAATATAATAAAGTGCTGATGCAATCATCAAAGTAAAAAATTATATATATATATATATATATATGTATGCCCCCCGATAAGTGACAATAATAAATAAATAAGGCGACTGCTAGTGCTGATAAAGTGACAAATATGATTAAGCAACTAACAATTGCACAAATATGTCCATAAAGTGACAAAGTGGAAATCAAGGTGAATGAGATCACACTATATGGTGTCACAATGAAGTGACTGCTAGTGATGATAAAGTGACCAATGCAATAAACAAATAACAATTGCACAGAAATAACAAAGTGACATAAAGTGACAAAGTGGAGATCTCGGTATGTATGATCTTAAAATCTGTGATCCACACGCTATACTCAATGATTCGGTGATGTGACAGGTAAATAGTAGAATTACGCACTCACCAGATGCGTAATAATAATGCGCATGTGTAGATATATACTTTGGTCAGCCAGAGGTCCCTTTAAGGATGTCTACATCCT